TGGCACCAACCCTGGTTACATTTCCTTACCAGTATACGGTACGTCAATCCCTAGCTTTGTTTTCCAACATAGGTTACATCAATCCTTAGTTTAGACACCATTTAGACAATCAGGGTACACCATTCCCAAAGAATCATATTTTTCTAGGGTACACCAATTCTGATACTATAGTGCTTTTAATAAAGAAATAGTTTAGATTTTTGTTACGAATAACTCACGAAATTTTCCTAGTAAAAACTGGGGCAAAAAATTTCGTTTGTTTGTTTGCTTTGGTGCCTGAACAGGTTTTTATCTTGAGGAACAAGTTATGAGGCGACCAAAAGAAGAAGTCTCGATTCAAATAAAAGAAAAGAAAACTAAGGAAAAGAAGTGAATCAAAAGTGCAGAAGCGGAGAAAAGATGTGAATTGCTCAAGACATAGTTGAAGTCACAAGCTCTGCATGTCCTGTCATGATCCGAAAAGCTGAAGAAGAATGAACCAGCGGTTGCAGCTAACGGGCATCAAGATTCAGATCACAGTCTGCAGGAAGAACCATCCAAGACTCAAGTACAAGTTTCAGATGACTCATAGATAAGAATCTTGTAACTCATAGCTGATAGGCTTTTTTAGTTTGTTTTTGATTTTTGATGTAATAACAGACTTACGAACCGGAGCCTCGACGGAACCTCACTCGACTTCTCAACTCATCATTCCATAATTCTCCTTGAACTAAATGCGACCAGATTCCCTTACAACCCAGGATATGTAGGTTGTCCGAAATCAAGACTCGGTTGCACCCTTTCTCTTATCCTTATTTCTTCCATTTTGAATAAAGACATGTTCAAAAATTAGTTACATGGCTCACATTCTCTTTGTTTGAAAACTCTTCATGTTTCCAATCAAAGAGGGACATGCTGTGAGCACCTAATTTTTTACCGTACTTGAATTTTTCTCAATTTTCTCACGTCATTTAGCACATACTTTACCACCAACACAATTATTCCCTCACAACTCCCATTCCACCTTTACACTTTCCAACTCATATTCCACCCTTACACTTTAACTCCCATGATCCCCTCCACTATATGAGAAAACAACTCACGCCCCACAAACACACATGAACAACATATAAAAAAAGGATGAAAAAGCAAGAAAAGTGACAGCCATGAACTTCATTTTTGGCCATCCAAAAATAGCCATAAAAATCCCCTCAAATCCATCACCATAGGGCAGAAAAGAGGTCATAAAAATCAGTTTTTAACATCATTAAAGGAGTTACAACTTCAGCTCTATTTTGAACCAAAAAGAACTGAAAATCTACCCCAAAATCAGCCCTCTTCTCTGTCCAAAAACAGTCCCATAACAACCTCAAAACAACTGCAAAATACAGCCCAAGAGAGCGGCAAAAATTAGTTGCGAATCTTCTGAAAAATCAGTCTAAAAACCAGCCAAAAACTCCATTGAAAGCACCTTAAAATAGTCCACTTTTTCACATAACGCATCAACAGTTTTCAAGTTTGAGTTCCGTCGAAGTCGCAGTGTAATTTCATGGTTGAATTAGCAAGGTCGTGTGATAGAGCTCCAGTCAACGTCCTGCCCGCTTCCAAGCTTGTAGGCATTTTTATTGTAATACGACGTTGAAGATTCACTATTAACATGAAAGAAAATTTCTCCATTGAGGTTAACCCTTCAACTTTCGTTTAAATTTTTTATTTCTACACATGTGAATATATCTTTTGAAGCATGAAATTTGTTAAAATTATTCAATGTGATTTAGATTTTTGTTACTTGATTATCTTATTAGTTGTTTTATTGGTGTAGTTCTTGAATATCCTATCATGGTTAGTTCTTTACTTGTAGTTAAAACATAAAAATTGCATGTTAACTAGACAATGTGGGGTAGTATTTTAATAGCCGGAGTTTTCAAACAATTTATTGAGTAGCTACATTAGACAAGCTAGGCTTTGGACTGCAATAATTTCTGTTAGGCCCAATTTAATAAGAACAAAACTAACCCATTCTCCTCGATTATTCCATAACTCCGCGCTTCACAATACATCTCAAATGTAGTTAGCAAATAATTTATAAATGCGTTAGAATGATTTAGGCGCGTATTAATAAATAAATTATCGTAATTATGTATCCGTTTGCGTGACATAGTTATGATCCCACTAATAAATCAAGGTACGCATTCACGCAACGTTGGCCACACAATCCTAATAAATAATAAAAATGTTATTAATTGTGTACACGTATGTGTGACATAATTTTGATACAATAAACAAAACGGATTCACGCAGGTGATTCGTTTCAAAGATAATCCCATTTTTTTAATAATAAAAAGTGGATAGATAAAACATGAAAATCAAATAAATCATAGTTTATTCAAAATTAATTCAAGCCAAGCTATTGTCAATAAAGTGACTGTGCTAGAACAAAGGGACTCAGGAATGCCTTACACCTTCTCCCCGGTCAATATAATTTCTTACCTGGATTTTATTTTCGCAGACCAATAATAAAAGAGTCAAATCTTCTTTTGTATAGGGATTCAAATAAAAGGTGATTTGGAACACCCAAAAATCAATTCCAAGTGGCGACTCTAAACAAAAAATAATCCCTACTTCAAAAATGTCACTTTAAATGGAAAAACTCTTTAACCCACAATCCGTAACATTTTACATCCATATCTTTTGGAGGGGAAAAAAAGGGATGTGACAGAAAGCATCAATGAAGCAATCGACAAATATTCCAAGTACTGATTATATTAACTCAACCAAATGGAGTTACAAGCAACAGAACAATACAAAGACTACTGAAGATACAGAGGAGAGAATTACAAAATTGAAAGATGAGAACCAGAACTTACTGCAACATAATAGCCTGCAACTACAATTGCTTAACAACTTATTTATACTATCTTGTGCTCTATTCATGATATAACCATCTGCTATGCCTTCACGTATTTCAACCCTTAACCTTCACAACAAAATCTGTTAATCTTTTGGATGGAATCTTCACGCGCCAGCTACGTTTCACAGCTGCACTCCCTGGCTGAGTCAGCGTATCCATAGTGGCATGTAAGGTGTCCTCCATGTTAGCGCTATTTGTCACAACAATGTTTCTCTCTATATTTTCTTTTTTAACTCATTATTTTCATCATTGCACAACTCATACTTTTTTGCTTCGTATTTGTAGAAATTTATACGTCAAGATTGTATTTTTGTGTGTAGGTATTTTCTTTTTTTATCTTTTTGTGTCATCGAACATGTATAGAAATTTTGTCGATGTTCGATCCAACATACACATATAGAGTATAGAATGAAAGAAATTTGTACATACTTGCTCTGTGTTATTTTAGTATTCCAGAGTTGGGATTCTTTATTGTTATGGAATACCTGTGACTTTCAACGGTCTAACTAAGAAAAGTAGACTGAAAAGCTGGATCATTCTTATTTTGTTGATAAAAGTTAAAAAGTATATTTCATGGCTTTTTAAGGCTGAAATATTTAAAAGCAACTCAAAAATAGTATTAAAGAATTTTTTTCTAAAAATAGATGAGCTATCCATACAATTCAATAACAACAAAGACTTACTTTCATTATGTATCTATACTAGCTTAATTGATACATGACACGTGTCTATCACTTAATTAGGTGTACAATACATTGTCACATTTAGTATAATTTGGTGTAAAACACTCTGTACGAATAAAATTTTATCATTTGACAGTGCTGCAGACGTACGTGCTTTGTGCAGAGAAGAAGATAAAATTGGCTTTTACTTAATATATTTCTAGCTACTAATTAGCACTCTTTGATTGAACGGTGGCTAGTGGCCCGACGTTAAAGGTTCTTGAAGTCATGTTGACTCTATATATGTTATGCTGATTTTTATTCAACTACGTCTTCGTGCTTGACATAGGAGGATTTATTTTGTCCATGTGTCATACCTATATTAGTTATACATTCATCTCGAATCGATAGCATATTCATAGTAATTTTGGAAAAAAGTATTAGTGATCACTGGGGAGGCAGGATTTCTGCTATGGGGTTCAAACAAGGAAAAAGTTAATAAATTGAAAGAGAAAGTGTCCAATAGGACTTGAATCAGTAAACTCACAAAGATTTTGAATTCCCTTGGGCACAACTAGCTTTTGAATTGTGTCAAGGAGATTCTCAAAATTTGCTTTATATAAATAGTATAATTTTTGGACGAATGGAGTTCGGATGAATACCCTTCCGCCCCTAAATCACCCATGTTAGTGATTTTCACATTTATTGAGTTAAAATTCCAAACTCGTCTCTAAATTGGTAGGATGATAGGATCAACCTAAACATTGCACGAAAAATTAGAAATGACGAAAATTTTACATGGCAGGCGGCCCGTCACGGCTTTATTGTACTCGTTTGAGAAAAAAGCAAATTAAGGTTTCATTCATGGGAAACGTTAATTTCATGTAAAATGGTGACATATAATTCCAAAAAGGCAAGCCAGTAGCTAGTTAATTCCCTATATAAATAGTGGTGTACTAGTACCAAAAGGCAATACAAACTCAGAAACTAATACTGAAAATTTCACATTCAAATTTTCAGATCTTGTAAGTTCTCTTGCAATGGCAACAATTGCATCATTGAATGGAAATCACCAAGATGGGGTTTTTCGCCCAACAACAAATTTTTCACCTAGCCTCTGGGGAAATATATTTAGTTGTTCTGCGTTGAATAATCAGGTATATATATCTATGCTTCTTTATTTCTCGTTCACCTTTTTTCATTATATATTTTGATACTAAGAGAGAGAGCGCATTATTACAGGT